TATCAATGTGTTTTCCCTTACCTTTAATCGTAGGGTTGGGCTGTGGTCAGTCAAATCGCTTCAGCTGCGGCCAAACGCACCAGTGAATTAGCTGCCCAGGCAGGCCAGAAGACAAAACAGTTGACCAGTGTTGTGCAAGACAAAGTGAGTCAACTTTTCTGTTTTTTGGACATCCTTCATTCCCAACTGCTGTCCCTTGCGCGTGTCTTGAGCCGATGGTTTTAGATCCAATTCACCTCGTATTCCTTATGCGTTTGTATGGGATATTTTTCATTTTTGTTACTGAACGGCGTTTAGGCTATCCGTACAATTGTCGTATGCATTTGTTTGGAATCGGCCCTAGATACTGATCTTCGATCTAACGGTTGATGGATGAATTCGTTATATGTGACCATATAGACTAGTTGTTCGATTAACACGACTGTCAGAAGGAGTTGCCAGTTTGACACCGAAGTGTGTTGCACGGGATTCTGCTGTTTTCCCTTTCATTTCTAATAGTCATAAACCTTCCACTGTTATGCGACGATTCTAGTTGCCGTCTTTCGATTGTGCGGTTAATCCTGAGCCAGTCCGCTGACCCCTGTTCAGCAAATTACCGTACCGAACAAGGGGAACACATCTACGCTGCATTATCCGATCCTGGTGGGGCAACCAGACAAACAGTGCTGGGGTTAGACGCGGAGTTCTAGTTAATCGCGGTTGGCCACTAGTGCAAGTGCTCAATCTCGACAGATTACTTTGGTTGGAACATGCATTTTATGTGTCACCAAATAGATTGCCTCGCCGTGTAATGTTTGTCCAGCAGATAGTGAATGGAAGAAAGTCAATGATGGTCAAATTAAGGCCTGGCTTGAGGGAATGAAAACCCTGAGTTGGAGACTGGGTCATATGGGCCCCGAATGAGGATCTCGGGATCAGAGTTACCAATGGTTAAAGACACTGAGCGACATTACTAAGTCTCAGACAGTGGTGCTCGTGCATGTTCTCACTTTCTTTGCAAACACAGCACACCACAATTATATTTTTTTTCACTTCGACACTGCCTTCAACATCACAATCTTCCCTCTACTCTTATCCAAATGGACAGTCAAACGACGGCAATCAAAACCGCCGTACCAAGGTGCATGGTTAAAGATTGTTTATGTTGCTGCTCATAGGAAATCCTTATAGAAGACGGTTGAGTTTCGTACTTTCTGTATCTCATGGTTCTACCAGCCTTCGTTACCAGCCTAAATGATGTGAATGGAGAGTAGATGATTGTTTATTGTTGCGAACTCTCTGAATGAAGGTAATTCAGCGGGATTGCATTCCTATCCAATCCACTCGTGTTTTAACTCGAGCGCCAAACGTTTTCAATCCAGTAGGCGATTGTTTTGTGCTATTCAGATCAACCTTTTGCTTCTCATCAATAGCACAGTATATACTACTCGTCTTCAGCTGTCGTTGAACGTATTGGTCTCCAATCACCGTTGATCGACTGCACAATGCCGTGCTTGTGGCCGATTCCTCCCTCCAGTAGAAATCGTGGTCTCAAAGTTTATCATTTTAGCACTTCTCGTACTTGTTCGGACCTGTGCTTCGTAACCGTTTGTATTAGGCTTTTGCTCCTCCTTAGTGTTGTTCTAGC